ATGTAGGTATACTAAATAAAATACCTATCATACGACCATATATTATTTTATTCACTCAGATAGGTCATAGGATATTTTACATAAATATTATAATACAACATCGTAAATACCTATAGTTACATTATCACAGTTTACCTTTTGAACACATAGTTACATGGCTATGACGCACATTTCACATCACTGCAGTGTTACATTTTATTTCTATACTTTCTTATAAATATCATTCCTTTTAATATTAAAATTAACATTATACACATTATATATGGATAAAGATTCAATAACCAACGGCAATCTATATACATAACTTTAAGACTTATTTTAAATAAGTATGTCCTATTATAACACTTAGGTAAAAGTTAGTTTAAAATATAAGCAAGCTTGAATCATAATAAGATTTAATTATAATAATAATACAATATTATCTTAAATAATCAATTATAAAAGCTGATTTGTCTAAGTAACGTTTTTTTGAATTTTTAAGTACCTACCTATATTAAATAATTGTATTTATTTAAAACGAAATAAGCCAGATATTTTGACACATAAATCGACCACTTCCGTTCCTTCCCCTCTCACTACAAATACAACACTATTGAGCAGTCCTCGCCCACATTACTACCCTACTTATATAGGTACGTAATTGAGACGGATCGTTCGGTGGACAAATTATTCCGTTTGTGGCTGGGGCAGTCTCCCGATGGCCGTGATCGATTGCCACCGGTCGATCGAGGGTTGTCCCGAGAACAAACCATCGCTGTGTTAAGTCGAAACTGGCCCTAACGCGAAACGTGCCCTTGTCACCTTTGTAATAATAATAGCAAGTAATAAAATATTATTATCTGGCTAGTAATAATAATACGTGGCTTCGTATATTACGGATTTAGAGACATCCCTACGGCTTGACACAGTGGCAGGCCCGTCGTAACGATGGGGAATGGCAAACTCCTATAAAAGTAGGTAATCTCCTACATACACATATAGTATTAACTCCTGTACGAGTTTTTGTTAAAAAAGAAAGTTTTAGAAAAAATAACATCTACGAGACAGTCTTATTATTTTTATAAAAATATCAGTTTTTGTAATTATGATAGGAGCATTATTGTACATTATTAAAAAATATTGTGATATACGAGTAGTCACTCATTGGGTTATAGTCATAACCTCTAATGGTCCATGATATGACTGATACTAGGTGGAAGCCGAAAACCACTCTAAGAGATGGCACACTCCGACGATACAGTCGAGGGTTGGTTACGCCATTGTCCATCCGCCATACACATCCAGAAAATTCGTCCGGAAATTGCCAACTCACTGACATGGATGCCGTAAACCGTTTATCTCTGAGGCCAAGAGAGATGAAGAAATTGTCATTTAACACATATAGAAATGTCGATACCTACCACTGTTTTATTTCCATACACAGTGCATAAGAATGTTCAATACGTGTTTGCAGTTTACTCATAAAAACGACAACTCAAATTATTGTTTTTAGGTACCTACTACCTACTTAATGTTATTTAAAAAGCGTCGAATACATTTTTTTTTTAAATGTTTTAAAAATTAATCATAATATGTACTGCAGGCAAAAAGTTTATTTTTCCCACTAAAGACTGAGGTTTTTGAGACATTCCAAACTTGTGTCATCAAAAAAAATTTAGGGTAGAAGATTATACACCATCTTCTATTTTTAAGAAAAAGATTACTCGTACAAGAATTTACATTTACGATTTAGGTAACTATTACTCGTACCTGTATCTGTAGTTTAACAATATTTTAAAAACATGTACAAAATAGTGGAATTGGCGGTTATTTATCTTCTAAGAGGTATATAATATTATATTATTATGATGTACAGTGTATACCCAACGAACAGGAGTGACGAGAATATTTTCTTGCCGACGGAAGTGTCGCCCGTGAGGGCGAGGAGTTGCATTCAAATTTAGTGTTCGCGTAACTCGATATACAGTCAATTAAAATAATAATAATGACAAAAAATAGCCTATACCTAAAGCGTTAAGCCGGACCCTTTGGCGGAGATTCTAATCCCGAAATCTACCCTCTTGGCACGCTCTATAATAATATATATTATATACGTGCCCATATGCATGGCGAAACTCTAGTGTTCGTACACGAAAATTCACGTTTTTATAACGAGTTATCATTAATGTATGTAGGTATACAATATCCAAATGAAATTTGAGTACCTATAGACAATTTATTTGTGCGCAGTACCTACCCATCTCGACCATAATTGTTGGTACATAAAACTTAAACCATAGTTATCATTACGTAAGAATAGACCCATAATCACAGTAGTCCAGTGGGGCCGATTATCATCTTGAAAAGTAAGAAAAAAAAAAAAAGGATAATAATTTTTAGTAGATTTAGAATAATGTTGATTACGGAAAGTGGTAATTTGGCGACCCTTAAATGGTAGAGTCTGAATCAAATACAAAATTGAACAACAGTTTGTGATTTTAAATCATAATTTACAATATTATTTATTCAAGTATAAATAGTATAAATTATTATTATTTATTTTGAGAATATAATATGCTGTCAGTAAAATATCACGTTCAGGCTAACACGGTCAATCGCGGCAATTACATAAATCGGTGTTCGTTGCTTGTAAGTAGGTGCATTGTACTGTAGCAACAATAAGTGAGCTAATTAGTGGTTTTTTTAAAACATTATTACAATATTGTATAATGTCATATCGAAAGCAGCACAAAATTAACTCGTGAAAATGCAAAATTGATTTTGTTTTACAGTTTAAATTTTTTGAATTCTCTGTGATTATTTTCATTCGTTAAACGTACAAGTGAACACTAAAATGTTCAGTAATGTGGAATTCGTTTTTTTTACCATAATATTATTTTTATTCCTATAATGTACCTAACTGAAGTATATAAGTACATAAAAATATCACGCTACAGTTCGTATAACACTTATTTAATAAGGTAAAGGAAATTACTATAATAAAGCCAAAAAAACAATTTCGAATTTGACGCAAGTGCGAATACCATTTTTTTTGTAGACTATACTTTGAATTTTGATCGATGAATAAATAAATGGAAATTGTTGCTTTAGTTCTTGTCTGTATACATAAGCAGCTGAAGGTTATAACGATATTACAATATTTAACCACACCGAGGAAATTCTTAAGAATAGATATGATGATGAAAATGGAAAAAAACAGTGTTCCAAACAGGTCCGATGAGTAAATTTACGAATACATTTATATGAATAAATATTCTGACTTGCCCAACAATAATTCTCGTTTGGTATAATAATATGCACGAATTTGGAAGAGCAATTATTGCAGACCGACAACGTTTTACATAGGTCGCGTCGCGGTTTTGTCTTGTTTCGTATTCTGTCTGATATAAAAAATTTAAACTCTACCGAATTTGTTTCAATTTGTGAGCTCGTTTCACACCGTTATATGTTTACTCAGTGTTTTCAGTCTGTAAAGTGAAAATAAAAATCAACAAAATTCGAATCATTTGACGAGTGGATAAGGATCATACATTTAAGTATAATGTTAAGTACCTATAGATGATGGTTATTTGATCACAATCTAGGCAAATATTAGGAAATATAAGGATTATTTTGAACTTTCAAGGACACTGTTATATTATATGAAAATATATGTTGGTATACCAATAATTTAATATTTACTTAACAGTTTACTATTATTGTTTAATTATTTTTACTTTCTTGTATTTTTTTCTCTTCGGTTTTCCAACATTTTAATGTTTATTTAATTATCAGTATTTGATCTAAAAGTAAAAAAAAAAATAGAC